AAGTTCAATTCAGATTAATAAATAATATATTGTTTAAATGGAGCGATTATGAGAATGTATATTTATACCTACAAAAAAGCTTATAAGGCAATAAAATCCTTAAGAAATCAGAAAAGTTTTATAATATGGATCAACTCTACAATTTTCAATGATAAGGTTAGTAGAGTAAAAATAAAAAGAAAAAAGGTAAATTGATTGCTTTTTGGAATAAGAAATTACTAAAGAATGTTGGCGGATATTATAAACATGGATAAAAGGAAGGGTTATGGAAAGATCTATTCCTAAACTTTTGGAAGTAAGTTTCAATATTGAAAAATATGTATAGGATACCTTAGCGTAATTTTTATAATGATTATGTGTAAGGACAATTAAGAACTGGCCAAATAGATAATGTTGGGCTGGTTCCATATTTCATATCAGGTCACACAGACGAGGTGACTCATTTGGACTGGAAAGGTGAATTGTTACTTTCATACTCACTTGACGAACGGCCAGAATATTCGACAACAAAAGTTTGAGTCTCAAGTGCATGGTAATCCCATAAAGTTTTTACAGCATGAGAGAGATTAAGGTTAGAAGCGACACGAATTTTACAATTTTACATGTTTTGGAAGCAACTCAAAACTTTTTCCACAATATAGATTATCAATCAGAAAAAATCAACGTATAAGCCAAGTCGAGACTTTCTAAATTAAATTTTACTAAAAAATTTGTAAATGAAGATTTTGATGAAATAATAAACCAAAATACTACACTTTCATCATTCGTGTTTGTATTTAATAAGATATTAAAAATTTAAGACCATTATTTTGAAATTAAAAAATAATGCAATTGATAAAAATTCAATACTTTCCTTAAACAAAGACAAATCAATTGCTTAATCCAATTGTTTGGTTGGAATTTAAATGGCGCAAAACTTCAATATTTACTTGAACACACCTTAGTAATACAAAAAAATTACAATTAACAATACAGAAGCATTGCCACTTATACTAAAGCTGAGATAAAATAGCTTGTATATATGAAATAGTTTTAAGAATAATCAAAGATGATTGTGTTGGTAAAGAAATTAGAGTGGCAAGTAAGCAGATCAACTTACTAAAATTTGATTGGCAAATTAAACAATCATAGAAAATAATTATAGATATAATAAATAATAACCAAATGTCTTTTTAAATTCAGAAACTAAAAATGATTACCTTAAAAAAATTATTGATGACTTAATTGAAAATTTTAAATGTTGATATCTAATAATTGTTTGATAATTTAAAGATTTAAATATTTTAATTTATGCTTTATAAATCTCATTTATTGCAATTTTTAGTATTCCAGTAATAAAAAGCACAATTTAATTGGGATTATTCATTTAATAAATGATTTTTGGAAATTTAATTAATCTATACTAAATTTAACAATAAGAAATTGCCACTATTTTAAATACAAGTTAAAAATAATTATATCTATTAAAATCTATATTTGACAATAAATGATTTTTATAACTTTAAGATTAAAGAAATGGATATCCAAAATATAAGTGAAGGCTACATCGAAACGTTTTAAGTAATATCAAAATAAATCTTCAATAAGTAAGATTCATTTTTTCATGATAATTTGGGTTATTTTTTAATAAATGCTTCAAATCTTATATAAGAAAGAGATTTTTAAGAAAATAAGAAAATAAGATAAAATACAAGAATTCCGATAAAAAGAAAAAAAGGATATAGAGACAACAGTGAAAAAATTTTTAAGGGAAATTTTTCTTCTCTAGAATAATGATTATTTCAAATCAATAGTATGTTAAAGATTTATTTCATTTTTTTAAACTAAAGGTAATATAAATATTTTACTTAAATACCAAATTTTAATTAAACAATATCCTACTTTACTTTCAATTAATTATATATCAATCCCTTAGCAACTGTTAAAATATTCAAAAAAGTTTGGAAACATAATTTGATAAGGATTTGGATTTGCGTATAATTTGTATTGTTTATAAATTTTTTTAATTATTATGATGTGGAGAGACTTTTTAAAATTAATATAATCTTTTATATTGTTTTCAATAAAGGCAATTTTGAAATTACAGTTTTAGATATTATATAAATTGCAGAATGAAAATGCTTTGTCAAGTGTATACTTTAACTAGTACAAATGTTTTCGTTTGCTTTTTTATTTTTTTAATTATCGAAATAGTTACTATTATAAGAATGTTGATTTTTCATCTTAGTTATTTAAGATGGAATTTTTATTATTGTTTTTAAATTGCTTAACATTAGAGGAAAAAAATAGGAAGCATTAAATTTAAAAATATTTACTATAAATGCTTAATTAGTTTACTTTATTAATCAACATTAATATGCGTTAATGGAATTTAAGTTTCTTTTGAATTACATACAATTCATCACCTAGTCCTTTAGGTTTCTTCATTTTAATTCTTTTGTT